TGCGGGGCGTCGCGTCCCTGCCGCTGGAGGGGATCCACAGGGCAGCTGTGCATCAGTGTCCTGCTCCAGGAACCTCGAAGGGTTTCAGCGAACCGGGCAAAAGGCACCGGCCAGAGGCAGAGCGAGCTGCTGCAGGGCTGGGAGCAGGAGCCCCGGGAGCCCCGGGAGCCCCAAAAAAGGCCGCGCTGTCCTCGCTGCCAGCACGGGCTGCCCCGTCCCTGCTCTGGGAAAAGCCCAGTCTCACCTGCAGCAGAGCGGTTTAACCTGGGATTTGCTCGGTGTACCCTCACTGAAAACCACCCAGCCAGATCGGCCCAGGAAGTGCAGCGGGGGCTCTCCGGGGCAGGAGTGGGGTGCGCTCCCCAGAGCTCCCCAAGGCAGCGAGCGTGCAGCTCGCCCGGTCTCAGCCAGCGCTGCAGCAGGTTCTGGCCATGCTGCTGGGCTGCATGCACAACAGCACTGGGAAACCTCGTTCCAGGAGCCCTAACAGGATGGGACACTCTCACCAAGCGCTGACACCAACACCACCTCCCTCCCATCTGTCCCGGGCAGCGCAGGTGTCCCTGCCACAAAGGTGACCCTTCTTGATAGGATCTGGGAGGGGATTTGAACCCCCTCAGCCCTGCCACCCTGCCATCAGCCTCCAAGAGGGTCTGGGCTAGACTGTGACCGGCCTGTCAGACTTGTAAGGGCTCTCACCAGCTGGCTGAGGACTCAGCCCAAAAAGTGCTCCAAGAAACAACATCAGAGGTGGCTTTTCAAGCAGCATGAGTCTGGCAGGACGAGAGTTAAGCCCATCAAGGGTTTAACCCCATCATCCCACCATGCTTGGTGGCATGCAGGGCTCTGTACCAGCCCCTCCTGCCCAGGAGCCAGCATGCAATGTGGTCCTGAGCACTGTAAGGCGGTCCCAAGCAGTGTGTCATGGTCCTGAGCCATCCAATGTGGTCCTGAGCCACGCAATGAGGTCCTGAGCTGTGCAACAGGACTCCAAGCAACGCGGCGTGGTCCTGAGCCATGCAACGCAGCCCCGAGCAGAGCAGTACCCGCAGCCGCTGCCAGAGCCCAAGCTGGCAGGAGCGTGGTCGGGCAGAGCCGGGTGCTGGGCCAGCTCCGCAGGAAGGCAGGAGCCGCCCTCAGCACCCAGCCAGGCTTCACCCGCGGAGGACGGGGCGAGCAGCACTTCTCACGCACAATCTCTGCAGTGGCACGTTGTTTCCTGTCAATATCTGTTGTGCCAAAGCGCAGTCAAGGCAAGCTCTGCGCCAGGGGGGGCACGGGAGCCCCCAGACAGCCGGCCCCGGGCCAGCCCCGGGCACAGCTCCTGCTGCACGGCCCCGTGCTGCTCCTCCATTCTGCACGTCAAGGTCAGAAATTGCCGCTGACCTCAACCTTTTCCTGAGATGGACCCTCCACAACGGCCAAAGCCCTGCAAGAGGCCGGTGGGGGCAGAAAGCCACACTGCTCCTGGTATCCCCGAGCATACTGGGAACTCCTTGTCACCGGAGGCTGTCCGGAGCCCGGTTTTTCCCTGTCCCCACTGCTATGAGCAGCTCTTTGCGAGTGCAGCCACCCGGGTGCACCTCTCTCTCCACTGGTCTCAGCAGACAGCAGCTCTCCAGGACATGGGACCCAGCAGGATCCGGACATGCTGGTGGGAGACGTGCACCCACAGCACCAGCACACAGCGATGGGTGACAGCCCCTGCTCTAAGCATGTCCCAGAGCTGACTGCCAGCAGCAGGGATCTTCCTACTCCCTCGGATGACAGATTTGCCACAGCCATGGAGAGAGAAACCATGTGCCAGGACACCTCCAACCCAGGAGGTCCCCCATGCCCACGGCCAAGCAGGAGCCGGCCGCCCCGCGGAGCCAGCGCGGGCTCACGTACCTTCCTGTGGCCCGAGAAGAGCAGGGCGAGCTGGTGGATGGAGCCGCCGTTTTTGGCAAGCTCTTTCTTGAGGGTCCTGGGGGAGGGCAGAGCCCAGTGGGCCGTGGTGGCCTGGCTGTCCGAGCAGTTGAGGGTGGTGTCGGAGGTGAAGCAGTGGCTCTTGGCCTCCTGCAGCAGGCTGCCCTCGCTGTGGGTCCGGCGCCGCAGGGAGCTCTGCACGCTCAGCGTGTAGACGGGCTGACAGCCTGACGTCTCAATCATGCTGCTGCGCTTCACCTCATTCCTCTCCAAGTAGTGCTCGTCGCTGTCCTCCTCCTCGTCCTCCTCGTCCTCATCTTCCTCCTCATCGTCCTCCTGCTCGTCCTCGCCGTCCGTGGTGCTGCCTGCCACGCCGGCCGCACTCTGGCTGAAGGTGCTGTCAAGCCGCAGCTCAGGGATGATGAAGGTTGGCAGAGAGCTGGGCTGCTCCTTTCCCTTCTCGGTGGCCACCAGCTGCTTTTCCACCAGGAGAGGTCTCTGGGAAGCTCCTAGAGCCTCCCAGGGCTCCACCGGAGCCGGTGCGTCTGCGACCGGAGGAGCATCGCCCGCTGCTGCCTTCCCGTCCTCCGAGTGCATCTGCCCTGGCTTCTCAGCGTCTGTCTCCAGCATCTGCCCAGAAGAGAAGATAAAGAAGGATGAAGGCAGAAGCAGCCTGAATCTCTCGCTGGCCACCATTCCGGGGAGCCTCTCCCCTCCTAACACCCCAATCACATGGCTGGTACTAGTCTGACCAGCCCTAATGGTGCTCTGGTGGGGTGGGACAGGATCATCCCCACGTCCCCCGGTGGCGGCAGGTCACCCATCACTCCCACAGCACCCAGGCCCGAAAAACCCCAGGCCCCCCCCCCAGCAGCTGGCCGGGGGCTACGGGGCAGGAGTGGGATGGGACCACCCAGCTCCCACCTCCAGCACCAAGCAGCACCGCTGGGTTTGGAGGAAACCAGCAGCTCTCGTCCGGCAGCTCCAGCCCCTCCTGCACCACATCATTAAACGTAGAAGGGAACCAAGGGGCTCTGCTCGGCAGATGTGGCTCTGCAAAACCACAACCACTCCTACCAGCCCCTTTCGGGTTTTTTAAGCCTTTGGGGCTGTTTTTTTGCCAGCTTCTCCTCTGCAGGCAGGAAAGGCCTGAGCAACCTCTGCCCTTCCAAGGGGAAACGCCTGGGGAAGCCCAAGGGAAAAAACCTCCAAAGGTTTTTTGTGAGCAGGGGGAGCCTGAAATGAGCCCCCTCCCGCCAGAGAGGGTCCTCTCTTCCGTGTGATTTTTCCCTTTGCGCAGAGCCCGTCTGAGCCGAAGGGGTGAGAACAGCTGAGCAGGGGAGAAGGAACAAAGCAGAGAGAAATTCTGCCCCCGGGAAGCGCATCCCACCTATGCAGACCCCGTAGGGCTGGAGTAGGGGGTTATCGCCCAAAACCAGCCCCGGGTAACAAGTCATCCAGGAAAAAACATCCCCAGTTAAGAACCAAGCATTCTCAAGGGCCCGATGGCAACCAGAAAGCTGGAGCTAACACCACCACCACCCCTGAATAAATTAGGTTGACTGCAGCTACGAAAAGAGCAGCAGCCTTGGGAATTAGCCTCACATCCCGGTGGGAAGAGAGGCAGCCACGGAGCGGCCAGAGGCTGTGTCCTTGCAGTGGTGTTTAAGTCCCAGCTCTGGCACCATCCGCCCTGCGCAGAGGGATGGAGCAGAGACCACGCAGCACCCAGTGGCATCCTCAGGCACCTGTCAGAGGTTACGGGTCCAAAAAGTGGGTCAGATTTCCAAAAATTGCTTGGGTTCAGCGCCGCAGCCAGCGGCAGCACACAGGAGCTCACCCAGGCCTGCCTGTGTCTTGTCCTTTTTTATCACGCCAAAGGGCCCCGTTACACCTTGAGCCTGGAGAGGACCTGCTCAATCCCCTTCCAGCCCGACTCGCTGCAGGCAGTGGCGTAGCATCACCTGAACTGCCCCAACAAGCCTGAAGAGTAAACCTCAGCGACCATCGTGGCCTCAGCCCCATCTGCATCATCTGCTCCAGCCCCAAAACGGCTGGATTTGATGGAAGCACCAAGTGGATGCTCAATTTAGCCTCAAGGCTGTTTCACTCCCTCCTCAGTAATTTCTTGTAAAAAGGGAATGTTTCCAGACAAATAGCAAGGATGCTATTTGCACCAGCGCGTGTTTTAATGCTGCTGTTTACGTCTGATTTGTACTGCAATCACTGTCATCATTATTTCATGAAATAATTAGAGGAAAAACCCATGCAGCCCTCAATTCACTCCCCGCAAAGCCCTCCCCTCCCCAACAGCTCCCTGTCTGTCCAGTCCTGCTTAATATTGCTGGCTGCCCGCATCAGATAAAGCCCTAGAAGGAAATGAACAGGCTCCTTTAAAATGAGAGACATTCGGGGATTAAATTAAATCCCTGCAGTAATTCAATCAGAGACTCTGCTGCTCTTCAGTGGCACGGAGGATACGAGCAGGAGCCTCGCCACCGAGCAAGGTTTGTGTCTCGGGTGGCGAGCACCAGCGGGGCTGTGACATCCTTTCCTGGCAGAAAGGGCCGTGGCCGGGCTCTGCTAAACGTCACCCGACGGCGGGGGAAAGCAGCAGTAGCGCCGTCACGGAAAAAAACCCCGTCGCGGCTGGAGGCACCAGGGATTTTGAGGACATGAAGCCAAGGGCCACCTTGTTGGGCAGTCAACTCGGGCGAGCGAGGACAGGGCTGTGACTAGGTTGCCTTTCCACCACCGTCGTGGCCAAGGGGCTACTGGGGGAGGCAGCAGATGGAGGTAGGGCTGATGCCGTCTCAGCAGGGAAGTGAAGGGGACATCTGCTCTTCCATGTCAAGGACTCAACCAAAGCACTCCATGGTCTCACAGCAGCATGGGTTCCTCTTCCTCGGCTGGCAGTAGCAGCTCAGGATCAAGCAGCCAACATCTGGATCTCTCCATCCTCAACATCTGGGTCTCAGCGCTCTCAACATCTGAGTCTCCTTGCACTCAACATCTGGGTCTCCCTGTCCTCAACATGTTGGTCCTCCCACTCTCAACATCTGGGTTTCCCTGTCCTAAGCCAGGGTGGCTGAGGGGCTTTACTACATCCTCCCTGGAGGACCTCACACTTCACTGTTTTGGTTTCCATTTCAGACTAAGCAGCCACGGCAGCACATCCCAAGAAGGGGAAGAGAAAGTAGAAGAAAAAGCTGCCTCCAAGCCCCAGGATGGCTATCGGGGTACTTTTAGGGAAGGAGGATGATTGGTCTGAGATCAGCGCAACAGCAATAGAGTCCCTAAGACCGATTTCCCCATGGAACAAGCCTCCACACACCCCAAAAAAGCCAAACATTGCCCTGCCTGCTCCAGCATCCTCAATCTCTGCACCTGTAACCCTCTGCCTGGACTCCCTCTGCCTTTGGGCATCACTCACTGACTCAAATTCTCCTGAAACTGAGATGGGGCAGAAGTACTGCAAACCCTCTGCTCTTCGGTCTCTAATTGCATCAAGTTATTTTCTGGTTGCTGCTGCTCTGACGCCAGCAAAGCAAATTTCAATGAACAGATGTGGGTTTGTCAGCGCGGCCTCGACCTCTCCAGCATTTCTTTAAATCATGTGCCCTTTCTGGTGGCCCACAGCCGGGACCTCCAGCTGGGAAAACACCGGCCACAGAGACGGCACAGCTGTGAGCTGAAGCCTGCACCGTCCTTCCCCCAGCACTGCCAGCTCTCAGGCTGCCACAAATGCCATGATATTTTGCATTCCCTTAAATCCCCAGCTCTGGGAGGTCAGGGATTTTTTATTTTTTTTTGAGGTTCTCAGCTTCTTATTTCAAAACCTCTGCTCCTCACAGCCATGGAACTGCTGAGGCTCAAGTAAAGCTGGAACATAAGAAAATTAAATTCAGCCTTTTCTGGCTCCTGATGCGGACGCTCAGGTTTGGCAACGCACATCTTTCTCTTGCCGTAATCCTGGGGAAGAGGAGGCTAAACACACCCAGGAGGACTGCCCTGCACCCAGGCAGCTCCTCAGCCAAAATCAGGGATCAGCAAAAGCAGGAAAGTCCCTGCAGGTAACAGATTGCTGGACATCGAGCCAAGCAGGAGAGCGGAGGACACGCAGCTCCGCCTGGGAGGAGGTAATGGACCTCCCGTGACACTGCTGGAGCAGCCGCTCTCGTGGGCTGTCCCAAACCACAGCAGCCCCTTCAGCCGTGAGACCAATGGGGGAACCTCTGGTTCCTGCTGCCCTTAAATCTATCTTTGCTCAAAAGTGCCTCACCTGTCCCCAAAAGCACTTAACTCTGTGGGAATGAGACCAAGACCGTCTCCAGGGGGAACTGGGGGAGGACGCAGCCAGTTTCGCTACTGGCAGTGCGTTCCCTGCGCGGAGGTGACATCACTCCCCAGGGCAGATGGGCTGCAAAGAGAACAGCACCTACATCACCCAGGGAAACATCAACGTTTCCGAAGTAGGGTTTTCCTAAAGTGAAAGAAAAAAATTATGATTTCAGTTCTTAGCATGGGACAAACTGTGCCCAGATCCATCAGATCAGAAACTTCCGACGGCCCTGTGAAACGCCACCAAAACCGCTGATGATGAGCACCCTGAGACTTAGAAAATGACCATTAAGAACCAAGTAAGCACACGGCTACAGGAAGCGGCATCTAATACACAGCACGGGGCTGGGAGGAAGAAAACAAAGCCAGAAATTCAAAGCAGAACTACCGAAACTTGAGAAAATTTTCACAGGAGTCATTTTGAAAGCGCTCACGAGGAGCATTCCTGGGCAGCCCCACTCCCTGCCCTCCTCGAGCCGCGGCGGCTCTGTGGGGCCAGCTGGAGCCAAGGGCTCGTTGCCCAGCATGGTTTTCTACCCATTCCCTGCTTCATTACTGAATCAATGAATAATTGATACGGAGCAATTACTGTAACGGCAAAAGCAAGCACGGATGTATAAATCCCAACAGCAGGATCCAACGGTGCGCCGGGGGCAGGGTGCATATGTGCCTCCGATGAGACACCCATGGGGGTGTGAGCGTTTGTGCCACCCAAAAATCCCTGGGCTTGAAACGTCTCAGAGCCCTGGCAGGAGAATTCCTCCTCTGCGGGAGGAAGCGATCCCGTGTCAGCAGCCTGCGCTGATCCCGCTACCCCGTTTCCATCATCCCCAACTGATCGCTCTGCAAACGGGGCCGGACCGGACCGGACCGGGGTATCGCCCAGCCCCGGCGCTGCAGCGGCCGCATTCTGCGCCTCTCCCCAGCGCGACCCGCTCCCTGCAAACAGGAGCTGCTGCTTAATGGAGGGCAACAGCCTCGCCCGTAGCAGGGGGTGTGCAGGAGGGAGCCCGCTCTGCAGGCACAGCTTGCACCCCGTGTTTTGGGACGAGCTGCTGAGGGTGTCCGCAAACAACCTGGGGCAAAACCTCCCCACACCGCGCACTTCAGCTGAGCTGGAGTTAACACGGAATTGCTGCTGCCACAGCCCCGAAGCACAGCCGCTCCGGCATTCCCAGCTCTGGAACCCGACCCATCTCCTGCCCAGCATCCTTCATCCCCACCGAGGCCATGAGCTCCGATTCCAGTGGCAAGGGTTGAACTTACTGGTTTGTCCCCAATGCCAGTAA